CATACGACACGAGCGAAAGTAACAACAGCAGCGCAAATGGTCTATGAGTACCGCGACACGACACGAGCGAGAATACGACACCAGACAATATCATACGAGAAATTATGATACGAGAAATTAGGATTGATTGCTATCGACCAGCTCAAATCGTCGTCAGCGGCAGACTGAATAACGACGGAACAGAGTCGCGGTCGACCGATTTCCATAATAGGAGATTTTCGGCACCGAATGTTCGAGAATCTAGGTGTTTGTCACACTTTTTCTTTGTTTTGATCACGCGATCACGCGCTGATCGGCTGATCGCGACGATGCTTATTCTCGCTCGTGTTTTGATTGCGGCTCTTACCGTTCAGATATGTCGGTTGAATTTACAGTTTAAATTCATCGATTAAATTAAACGTTTCAATCTTGAACAGTGAATAATAAATAGCATTAAAAATATATTGATATTAATATATATTTTTGTACAATAATATAAAACCAGATATAACAAAATAAATTAATTTATAGAAATATAAAACATGATTAGTAGTAGAAAAAGTAAACAATAACTTACTTAACATAAACAATAACTAACTCTGAAATAAAATTGTATATAAGATTTTAATATAAACTGTAATATAGGTTCATAATTAAATTCTTTATATGAATATATAAAATGTAATATATATTATATATATATTATATTTCTATATATTTTTATTTTGAATTTATATATGTATATATATATGTATTTATGCGTATAACAATTTACATGTATAACGATGTACATGTTAGATGTCAAAAGTATAACGTATAACGTATAACGATGTATATGTTAGATGTCAAAAAAAAATAATATTACTATCCCGTTTTGCTAATAAAAGGCCAACAACTTTTTTATAATATAGATATAAAAATAAAAAAAGTATGAAATATATATACATATATATATATATAAAACTTTTATATTCCCAAAATCAGATATTAGTTTCACTAAAAAAATATTTAAAAATGTTTATTTTTAAAAAACGTTTTCTCTCTTTGCTATAAATCAAGTTTACAAAAAATTTTATTTGAGAACTTTTTTAGATCCCGCCGCTCGATCTCGTGCCGGCAGCCAACTCGCGGGCTCATCTCGAGCTTACATTTGCGATAACTATTACTAACCAAAAGTCAGATCTCGTCGATCTGACGATTGGGCCGCTCTCTCCCTAAATAGAGAGGACGCAGGCCCCCGAAAAACCGCCCCCGATCGGGTCAT